TTGAACGACGAAAAGTAATGGCAGCAGTTAGAGATGGTAGTTCCACGACAAATGAGGCACCATGAAGAAAATGGGTAGCAGTGTCCAAGCGGTTTGTCACGCAGAAGTCGTCATAGGAGTATAAAAGGAAAGAATAGACATAGAGGAAAGTACCCCCGAATAAAACACTTTCAAACAGAGAATATGTAATTTTAACTTCTTAGATTAACTTTAATTAGCCTTTTTTCAGTACTCGTGTGCTTGCGTCCCTTAGAGGCATTCTGTTTAGTTCCAATTATAATTCTCATCAATAAAACACCCCTTTTTGAGACTTTGTCTCGAAAGGTTTGTCCTTTACACAATCATCTGAATTTCTTTTTAATTGTTAGCGATTACCCGCACGAAACAATTTTTGTTGAGAGTTTGGTGGTCCGTAGAGTGGGAAAACATGCAATTTATAGTTGTCAAGAATGATTTGGGTGGAGAAACATGCAATTGATAGATAAATCACATATTGAAACCGAACAAAATCGTAAATAACGATTTGATTTGGTTTGAAAAAATTCCAAATCATGTAAAATGGTTTGAGTTGAAAATATACACAAACCGTCCAAATCGAACTGCGTTCACCCCTAATGTAATTCATTAAATTGTGTTTTTTAATTATAACACTTTGTGTCACCTAAATCGGTGTTATAATACCAATAGTACTAAATAATATTATGTATTTCAAAAACTTCCCTTGATGTTTATTTTTGATAACAAATTCTCCCCATCAAGGTAGTTATATATTTCTCATTTTATCCCTCTATACTTTAAAATTGTTATTCTATTATGTGTATATTACATTTTTTTTTTCTTCCTTTAGATATTAAGATATAATATTCATACTTCTAATATTTTTTTTATGACTCAAACTTTTGAGTTAGTGATCATTTTAGTTAAAAATACTATTATAAATATTGTTATAAAATTTTAAAAATATATAAAATGTGGTCTCTCTCTCTCTCTCTCTCTCTCTCTCTCTCTCTCTCTCTCTTTCTAATTGAGTGAAGCACCTTCCTTAAACATGAGGCATGTTTTATGCAATGCTTATAAAACATATGACAGAGAGTGATGAATATAAACTTTTTTCTCATTTCAAAATTAGANGTGGTGATATAACTAGGTATATTTTCTCAGTCGGCATGACCAAATAACTGAACAAAAATCGACACCTCAATGACATGACTCGACCCTAAAACTATTTGGATCATTGGAAGCAGCCTAATTTAGTAGAAATTACATAATTCCAGACATTTCAAATTCAAAATCCAAAATTCAGGTGAGAATGTTTTATAATCAAAAATCTTGTATTGAACTAACAATTAAATATTAATTATTTTAATTATAGCTACTAATTAAATATTAAGTATGTTAAATACATAAGACGCAATTCCTTAAATATCATAATTTAAATTTCCCATTATTTAAATTTCATTATTATCCAAATCCATTCTCCCTCAAACTCCTCCCCCACTACTCGACACAATATTACCATTGAGTTTGCTCCTTATTCAGCCATTTCAACAATATTTTATACTTCTCATCTCTATATTATTAACATTATCTCTTTCATTCATCATTGCTTCTATTATCTTGTAAAAATCGAAGAATCTGAAGTTGAAGTAAAATGGAAAAAGTGAATGATGCAAAAAAGGGAATCAAGATAGACAACATGCCACAAAGAAGAAGAAGTAAGAGGAAGACTGAGGAGTGGCTCAAACACCACCGAAAAAGTAGAGGTTGTCTTTGACCGTGCGAAAAGTGCCATCGAACAATGGTAATTTCAATTTTTTTATTTTTTTAATATGATTTATATGTATGTATTCAAAAATTGATGGGTAACAAATATTGAAGATGTATTGGATATTTGTGATCTTTATTCGGTTCAATTTCATTAGTGATTGGAATGGGTTAAGGTTTCTATTTGAATCATTTGTTTTATGGAAATTGATTTTTTTTAATGAAAAAAAAAATTGTGAATGACGTGTATCCTAAAGATAAAGAATCCATATATGACCATGATATCCGAATGTAGCTAAGATTTTATGAATATGTGACATGAATGCTCACCATTCTCTATGGATGTAACCTTACAAATTGATAAGTACATTTTATATACTTATTTAAGTCACAAAATATGGATCATTATTGGCAACAATATCGAAATATGGTTTAATTCTATATAAATTGTGTTTTGCAGGATAATATTGATGAACATTGTGAAATTTAGAAAAAGAAGCAGAAAAAATGACTAAAATGGAAGAAAACTTAAGTTCAGGGACCAAAGTACAAATAGCTAAAAGATGACCCGGAAGAAGAAATAAGGATGTGGAAGATTCGAAGACCAATTGAGCGAAATGATAAAGTCTTGCAAGAAGAAAAAGTGGAAAAAGAGATCAAAGAACGAGAGAAAAGAGTTCTGGGATCATAACGTATTAGTTGGAAGTTAAAGCTCAACTATGCGGTTCCATGGTTGGCTCAGCAAATCTCAAGAGTGAATTTGGTTGAACTATGCAGTCGCATAGCAATGTATTATATGGTTGCATAGTACATTCTCGAAGAAAAAAAATTTGGTTTCTTTATTTCAATACAACTCTTATGGAAACGAGTTTGGGGGCTCCTTTTAAAACCCTAGAACCGTCCAAAACTAAGAACAACACATTAAATAGACTTTGGAGCAAAGAAGAAGCCAAGAACACGAACATCGAATCCAAGAACACGAGAATAAATTCAAGAATTATATTGGGTGATGTTGATTCTTCAATATTCTTTTGTTTCCTCCTTCATAACATACTAGGCTAGTTTTCTATGTACTAAGTGGACGATGATCCATGTAGT